TATTAATTATATGTTTTACATTTGATAACCACAATGTTCTTAATACTGGCAACTTCTAATTGTGGGAAAACGAAAATGTTCAGTGGAGATGTCCCATAGAACATTTTGCGAAACACAATATAGCCAGCATGTGTAGTTCTGGGGTGTCGTTCGTTTCCAGTTTTGGATAGTCTGGCGTGGTTTCGTTCCATTTCAAACAGCTGTTTTACGCTAGGCGTAACCTTGGCGCACTGCCACTCCAACATCCAAATCCCAGAGCTTGAAGATTAATCATGGGGACAGTAGTCCTAAACGATAGCTGAGGATTATGGGTAGTGCAGTGTCTTCGGCCATCCTAAACTCCGAAATGTTTTTCGGATTTCATATCGCATTAACACCATATCCCAACGTGCATTGCGGTTAGAACATACAATCAACTAGCTTAAACCATAGCTGAGGATCTTGGGTAATCAGTTCAGTGGGTGTGTATCGCAATGATGCTACGAAATCGTCCCTTATAGGCCTACGTCTGTTTCCGGTTATTTTATTTTGAAATTCAGTTCCTGAAGGACGCCAAAATAGCCTGAGAGTATAGAGTTAAACAAATAAATAAAAACAAGGATAATTGTGTGTTATTGTTGAGTAAATAACAGTGTGTCATTTAGAAAAGAATAACAAATTAGATGGAAACAATATTTAAAAAATACAGAGTTCAGTATTTGTATTCTGAGGCTCTGAGCCCCATTTCTTTTCTTCACAGACGACGATGTAAAATAAAAATAATAATCGTGGCTTGATATTGAGTAAGAGCATGTTTTTATGAACCACACAGCTTCCGGTCTTCCAAGACCCGACCGGACAAAAAGGCGTGGTGCAGGCACGAAACACACTACAAATAGAAATACATTGCTTTTAAAATCGTTCTGTGTGACACGAAGAAAAGGGGAAAATAGTGTTGGTGAACACGAATCAATAGATTAAATGTTGTGACTGTAACACGAAATGCCGTTAGACTGGGTTTTATAATAATGTATCAGAAGCTTCCCCTCTCTTACGTCGTTCTCCAGGAAATGGAACATGCTCCTTTCGGCCAGCTCTCTGCTCTCCTCAAACTTCTCCACCGCCTGCCGGATCTCCTCGTCTGGGATTTTCCCCTGACGCTTCTTCTTACAGTCGAAGTCTAACCGGCGGCCCTCCAGCTTCTTCAGGTGGTGCTGCAACACAAAGAGGTTAGGTTAAATCATATTTAAATGATTTGACCATTCCTTTTCTTTTGCCAAATGTATAACATGTGTTACATGGTTTGGAAACAGCGAGCTTCCGCTCCACAGTTCTACAGCGGGACTGAAACACATGCAGTAGGGGCCGCTCTTAAATAACAGTGCACAATTACACAAAATGAATACTGAAGTCTGTTCAAGACCTTTAATATTATCTGTTATTACTGTACTTAAACGTATAGATCCAAATAGTAGGAGTTAACAAGCAAACAAATGTCTTATACATAACTGGCTCCTAATTGTTCTCTAGTACTAGAAACAAATACCAACCCACATAACACAAAGAGCCAAAGGTGTCTCAGAGTTTGAAGCACAGCATAGTGGCTGTTAATCCAGAGTCATACATTCTTAGGCCTGATTTCTTTCTGACTTCCAAAAGTTCAAACCTTTAGTGAAGAGACTCAAGCTACCACGCTGACGCGTTGTGCACTAACACGTCGAAAACTTTAACGACCCTCCCCTGCAGGCTCCTCTTACTGCCGCAACGCCATTTCAACTGTTGGACATACGCAGTATAATCTGTTAAATCTGTCGTAAACAATAACCAACACAAACCTCAGCATAGTCCAAAAACACCAATACATACAAAACAAAAACTGTATGATTATAATAAATCATTTAATTAAACAAAATGTAGATTTTATTGAAACTGTCTTGCCAAAATAAACATTTTTCCATACATAACTGCCTCGCTGCCTTCAACAGTCTTCAGTCCTTTGTGTTTCATTCTGATGTCAATCAGAATAAAACACTGATTCTGATGTCAGTCAAAATAAAACACTGTGTTTTAAACACTGTCAAAATGACTAGAATTTGAGGGCAAGGTTTTAAAGCACGGAATAACATCAATATAATCTCGTAGTGTAGTGTGGCTGCTCTTTATGTACCGTGATCTCTTTCAGGTCCCTGTCCTGTAGATGCTGCAGGGGGTCAATAAAGTTTAGTTTGACACTTATGTCCAGGGAGTCCTTCACATGGGCCATCTGCCTCATGGCCTCCCCCATATCGGTCAGAGCGCAGCCTGCAGGAGGAGAACCAGCAGACACTGATACAGAGATCCTCTGAACTTGAATGAGAAACCCATCGATGTGCTTTCTGCAGCACGGCCACTATCTAGATTCTAGGTGTTTGTGGAATATGATGATTGGTACCAAAGATGGAGTCCTCTCCCAGATCCTGTCCGTGGCGCAGCATGCAGTCTCCCAGCAGCCCCTCAGCCTGGGGGTACCCGGTGCTCTTCACCTGCCCTCGGATCTTAGACATGGTGTTCAGCAAGTTCAGTTTGGCTCGAGACGCTGCAGAGGGAGACAAATTCATCCCTGATTCATTTTAGAAGGCAGTGTTGTAGTAGCAGATGACAAATAACATATGATATTTATTTGTTACCTGGGTTAGGCTGCAGGTATTCTGTTGTTTTGGACAAGAGGTCAAACACGGACTTGTTGGTCACATCTATTTTCTAATGGGAGCCAAATAGGAACATTAAAAAAAGAAATGTTGCAGTTACGTATGTGCATGTTCCAGTTCTGGAGGATATTTAAACACTCATTTCAGTCAATCATTCACTTGTCTAAGCTGGGTTCATGGTTCAAAATGACCATATTTTACACATATTTTATAAGTATATTTTATACATATACAATACATTTGAACATGAAAGAAGATTGTGAAGTTTCTCAACTAAGTTGATTCTGGACTGAAAGCAGATGAAGGCTGCAGTAAGGCTTGTTGTGTTCTTGATGTCCTTCAGAGTAAAAGTGTTGGTGAGATTGATGGAAGGTGTTTCAGCGACATTTCAATCTTCCTCCGACTGCGTAAACCTTCATTGTTGTTAATAAAGCTCAAACTAAACATAACAGAAAAGTCTATTCACATCTTTGTATCCTTATATCTTAAAATGAGTGCTAAATATGTGTTTTCACTCCCTTTCTGCACCCTGATATGTGTCTTCGGGTGGCAGCTCATTTAGTAATAATCGGACCAAAAGAAGACGTTAGTATTATCCGCCATCAGGTCTTTTTGAAAAAGTTATTTTCCGAGACCATCTCAGAGAAATGCTCTTCAAAGGAGATTATTGTTAAACTTGAATTTCAACTCTCTGGACTCACCCTCTGCATCTCCACGAAGTCCTGGTGCAGCTTGGTTCCCTCCGCCCCGCTGACCTTCTCACTGAGCAGCTGCATACAGCACAGAGAATAGAGAGAGCTGTCGTGTAAAAGCGTATGAGTTCTGTCAGCACGTCGTGCACTGGCTGAATGACATTTCTTTTGTTTTATACAATTGAAAAGGCTCATTTTTTTTAATAACCTGTTTTATTCCTACATTTTCAGCCCTTTTACCTCTTAGTGTTACAAGGAAAATAATGTTTCACAAACTTGGTTCAATATTAGCAACAGGGCAGCAGCCAAACCCTTCATAAAAGCAGACATGTAAACCAAATGCCCAGGAGATCAAAATGAAACAATGAAAAGTTGAATACCGTTTTCTATCATTGGAAAGCCTGTTGCCATGAGTAAGACGATCTGAAAGGCTTTGCTGTCTTTCATCAGATGAATACTGTGAGCCAGATACACATCATAGTGAAAATCCAAAGTGATCCTGAAAATAACATGTGGCAATAATAGCTGGGACATAAAGCGTCTTATTCTACATCTATAAATCTGGCTCTTGTTGCCGTAACAACGGTTCATACAATGTGTGACCCCAGGATATCATGTGACCTAATCACCTGGCACCATCTTTGAGAAAGTCTGCTGATCCTCAGTCACACCTGGAAACGAGCAGGTCATTTACAACTCCCATTACTCATGATTCCAGAAGCTCCCTGCAGAGTGTGCTGACGTCGCTCTGCAGTGTCCGTCAGATCCGAGGATCTCATGGGATCTCAGCCTATTATCTTTCATCAAACAACATCCGTGCACCTCTGACCCAATCTTACAAATCATCTATGACCGTGATAAATTAATAAATGGGATTTGGACAATTGAAATACTTTAAGAAAAAAAGCATATCATTTCTTGATAGAATCTATTGCTAATCAAAGTCATTATAACAGTCTTTGTTAGTTTTTCCAATGTTCGAACAATCCCTATCTCTGGTTGTTCTACACAGAAGCACCAGGCCTTTGAAAGCAAATCTTCATATGATGATTATGAAGGACTGTTCTTAGTTTAGGGGCTTTTTCAAATGTTCAAACATTTTCCAACTGGCCACAGTAAGCCCACCTTATTAGATGATAAGAGTTATATTAGTTAGATATACAGTATAAAAGCTTGGGTTGTGTGCTCAGTGGACCGTCTGAGGTCCTGCCAGCAGCGGACAGTTGGAGTTACCAAGTGGGTCAGAGGCGGGTAGCGCAGAGTGGATTGAACTGGGAGGTCCAGTATACATCTCTACTGTCTGCTCCAGCTGTTTGCTGTTACATCATTCAGACCATGCTTAACATGGTGATAATCTCATATCTATCCTCTCATCTCTCTCTTGGAAAGAAAACACATGAGCAACAATTGTGATATTTCTTTAAAATTCTGTCAAACATACAAGCTTGTCCCAATAGTTGAATGTACTTCAGTATATTTACTGAGAAGAAGCTCGATGTGCACTACCTGCTAAAAACAGCAAATCTCTCCATCAGTCTCAATACAAACAATAAACCGATATGTTTGGGAAAAAATAGTGCAGATTTAGCGTTTTTCTATTTATTTTGATGACATACATTTTTATATGAATGCTCTCAGCCTTTCCATCCGTGTCTCGCTGGATCAGATCCATGCAGGGAGGGAGGAGGCTTTGGAAAGAAAGAAACCTGAAGTGTTATCATTTCTTTCTTTTTATAACCCTTAACCTTCTCACAGAGGGGAAATGTACATTCTGCATTTGACCCATCCTAGTGTTAGGAGCAGTGCCATTATGTACGGCGCCCGGGGAGCATTGCCTTGCTCAGTGACACCTCGATAGCACTTGGTCTTATTGTATTGAGTATGGTTGGAAAAGAATAACAAATTAGAAGGAAAAAAAGAATTTACAAAGACATGCTCGGGGCCAGATGCACAAAGGGACAGCTGGAGCTACATGCTACTGGCTGCTTTCAATACAAACACAGAGCTGCAGCTATCCTGAGCAGGCCTGAGTTTGTTAGGCTCAGCAGACACACACACACGTTTGGATAGACAGATGCTTTGAGGTGAAGGGACTGCAGCGAGCTGCGACCGACACTACCAGGATGTTCGTTTTATCTTTCAAACACAGATCAGAGCAGCTGAAGCGCTGCAGGTTTGCTAGCAGTCGGTGCTTTGATTGTGTGGCTGTGTTGTTGGATCTGTGTGATCTTCTTCCTGCACTCTGAACTCTTACAGGTGGGCCGGGGACAAACACCCAGCTCTTTCTTTCCTTTGTAGAGAGCACACACTCACTCACACAGCAGCACAGTCTCTGTTTTTCATTCTGCATAATATCAAACATAATAGAGTGTTGTGAGTGTTGTTGTGTAGTGATGACGTATCTTTGCAGGTCGACCTGGAAAATACCATAGCAGGGGCTCCCCCGACCAAAAAGCAAGAAGATATTTCTATTGGATTTCTGACATTATGGACATATTGGACCTTATTTTCAGGATAATCTCAAAATATTAAATTCAGCTTTTATAATAGTTGAAGCGTAAATGCAATCAGAAGTTCCCTGCAAAACTTGTTATGGCAGATTCCTTATTAAAGCGTGTTTCTGGCTTATTCATTAAGGTAACACAGGTCAGAGAGGCTCCATTGCCTCTTCCGCAATTATTAGAAGATGTACCCATGTTAAAGGTGACCTATCATGCAAAATGCACTTTTGTACGTCTTTTATACATGAATATGTGTCCCCGGTGTTCCAGGGAACTCACCAAGTGTCAGTAAACACAACCCTCTCTATTTTCCTCAATACCCAAATCTCTTAAAAAGGGGCTGCAACGGATCTGATACAGACTGATCCAGATTTGAACACTTCTATGACGTCAAAGAAGTGGCGCTACGGCTATAGGGCCAACTCCACCAATCAGGAGGAGACAGCCACGGACATTGCCGTTCGAAAGGGCTGGAGACGCTGTAGTACATATGCCAGGCCTGTAGATGGTGCTGTTCTCACAGAATCAGCCCATGAAAAGACAGTGTTAAATTGAGCGAAATGAGGAATGGCTAAAATGCATGATCTGTTTGGTATTTTGAAAAATAAAAAGTATAAATATGCCTTATATAGGTATGGTCCTACACTATATTATTCAAATATAGCATGATAGGTCCACTTTAAGTA